CCCGGAGCTGGGCGCTTCAATTCCCTCACCTTTCCCTTCTGCTTACCGAAGCGGAGCGCACAGCGTTTTTAAAGCCGCGCATTGCAGAGGCTGCTTTGTAGAGAACGGCTGGTTGTGCTTAATTGAACTGTTGTGTGAGTCAGGGGGATAAGGATGGGGTGTTTGTAGGAAGAAGAAACTGAGGCAGAAGCTAAGATTTTGGGGAGAAGGGAGTGAGGTGACTCAGTATGTTGCTCAGGGAGCTCTCTGTACTTCAAAACCGTCCTGTGCTCTGTTTCGTGAAAGTCTGAACGAGCTTTTACTGCGGCTAAAAGTGCTGGGAAACAACTGGGAAGCAGGGAGTAGCCGGCAGCCAGACGAAGAAGCGAGTCGAGCCATGACTAATACCTTCCAGCTGAGCCAGGCGCCCGCACCCTCCCGTTGCGGGACGGGCGTGCGGGCAAGGCGGGCACCGCCAGCGGGTGCGTGCGGGGCAAGCCCGGGGAGGGAGACCGTCCTCACAGCAGCGAAGTTCCGATGCACGCACCCTCCATTGCTCTCACAGCTTCGTTTCAAACAGCTTAGAGGAGAGACCTTTTTCCGGGGAGCTGCAGCTTGTCTGCTTGTCGACGTGTTGCACTAATGAGGGAGACGGAGCAAGAGAGAAGATGCGTCACAGATAGGACTGGTGAAAGGTTTGGAGAGGGTGTACATCCGAGCTTCTCCAGCCTGGGCCCCATATGCAGCCATCTGGCAAGGGGGAAGTCAGTGAGACCACCGAGGGATGTGTATTTTTGTTGTCATTCCCAGTTCAAACAGTTCTGACCTTCCCAGAGGAGTATAAGGGGGGTCCTGTCTCCCCAAACGAGATCTCCCACCATGTTGCCTCTCCCCTGGGTGACTTGCACACATCCCCATCACGCTGTGGGTCCCAGTGTGGGGCAGGGGTCTCCCTCAGCCCAGGTGGGACAGCTTTCCATTTAATGTCTGATCTTTCCATCCCTTACTACAGGGATTTCCCCCTCTCTTGTCTTGTTTCCTGCATAACCCGGTGCTTCTTCTCTGGGGGAGACAGGGATGGATGGGGAAAGGGGAACCAGGGAGGGGGGAAAAGCGAAAGAGAGGAAAAAGAGAAGGAAAAGAGAGATGCAAAGAAATAGGGAGAGATGAGGGAACGAGGAGAAAAGGAGGGCAGAGGAGTGAAAAAGGAACAAAATAGGTAAGAGGGAAAGGGAGAAGGAGGAAAGGGAGAGAAAAGGGAAGTGCTGGGAGTGAAAGAGGGAAGCAAGGGAGAAAGAGAAAAGGAAGGGAAAAAAAGAGGGAAGAAAGAGGGAAGGGGAAAAGGGAGAAAATGGGGAAAAGGGTGGGAAAAGAGGAAATAGTACAGGAAGAAGAAAGAGGAAGGTGAGAACCGGAACAGAGGAGAAAATAGAAAGTAAGGAGAACACAGGTGGAAAGGAAGAGGATATGGAAGACAGAGATGAAGAAGAGGGGAGGGATGAGGAAAGAGGGAAAAGAGGGGAAAGGGAAAAAGAAGGGAAAAAATAGGGGGGAAGAGGGAAGCAGGGAGAAGTCAGGGAAAAAAGGGAGAAAGGGAGAAGAAAGGGGGAAAGAGGGAGAAGTAACAGAGAGGGCAGGGAAAATGTAGGGAAGGGGAAGAGGGAGGGGAAGAAAGGAAGAAAAAGGGAGAGAAAGGAAAGGGGAAAAGCGGGGAGAACGCGGAAGAAGACGACGAACTC